AGATTTATGGGTGTGAAGAAGATTGGTTAAGCATCGGCTTTATATATAGAGAAAGTGGCCAGTGGGATTTAATATTTTTATTGTTCCATTTTAGTCTTCTGTTTTTTAATCAACAACTCATACGTGTATTCTATTTGATTTTGAATCCGTGGGTATGTATTCTATTTGGTTTTTTGGGTTAATTATAAAATTTTTGAATAAATAATATAATTTTAGTGACATTTTGAAAAATAGCATTTTTCAAAAAATTTCCATATTTGTTCTAGTCAACAACTCACACATGTATTCTATTCAATTTTGAACTTGAACACATGTATTTCGTTTGAATTCATACACGCGTGTAATTTACTTACTTTGATTTCATACATACTTTCTATGCGGTTTAAATTTGTATAGTGACACGTGGTAGCGTTCGCACAAACTAACAAAAATACAAGTTGTAAGTCATGATTATTTTTGAAATAACTTTTAAAAAATAAAATTTTATTTCTTTAAGTTAAATAAAAAAGAAAAAAAATCTCTGTTATTAAAAGTAAGAAGTTTGATTTCTTAAATTTCCTGTCTCAAGCACCAATTCAAGCAACTTGTAATTTTTCGTGATCTGCCTCAACTTAAGATAAATTGAGATAAAAAGAATAAAAGAGTCAAAATTTTAATCATTTGTTCGAAGATCATTCAATACATGTACATATATCTAAGAATTGTGTGTAATCAAAATCAATATAAATTTGGACACTTTGATATAACTATTATTTTCCCTAAAATAGAAGTTCACAACTTTAATACCAGAAACATGCATATCTCTCTGACAGGAAAATATAATCATTAAAGTGGAAAGATTACAGTTGTGACCGGTTACACACTTACACTTACATATTTCGATAAGCATTACAATTTCTGTATTCCTACTAAAATTTTACCATTTATATGGAAAATAAATATATATGCAGACATTTAGTGTAAAAAAAATTATTTCACTTGATTCTTCTAATATTTCCCTTATAATATAGCAGGAGACGAAGAGAATGTTAAAAGCAAAAAAAAAAATACTTGAAGGGTTTTGAAGAACTTTAACTATATTAATTATCATTAGCTTAAACAAGTAAACCTTATTTTAATAATGAAATTATTTAGGGTATTTAAAAGAACAAAAATAAAACTTTAATTATCTTAACAAAAATGCTATAATAATTACACGATATTTTTTTTGGTTTAAAAAGATACTTAAATTCAATAAACCGGTCTAAAACCAGTGCCAGTCGGTACAAGATAGAAAGTTGATTTGGCTAAGAGATCAGCCTCAGATATCATCAAGCTTTCAATCGATCTAAACCACAAAGGAAATGTTTAGATCGATTGAAAACTTGATGATATTTTAGATGATTCCATATATTTCAAACTGGAAAGTGTTGGAACTGATCAGAGAGATGAGTTGTTTGGAGTCCGAAACCATTATAATTAATTATAAAAATATATATAATGCAATTTTCTTATGGAGAAGTGATGGCCTAAATATTTGGTAATTTATGTTCACACGCGCAAAAAAAGATTGCCATATGATACACGATACACAAATCAAAATTTCAAGTAGATAAAATTTAACTTTTCATCACCACAGTCTTCTTTGACCAATTAGGATATGATTAGAATTTACATCAATTGAAACAAACACATACCGTTTATAACAAACAACATAATAAGGGACGGGTCATTGGAAACAACAACAAAAAACCAAACATGGGACGGTCAAATTCTCATGTTTATCACACCACTAGTCCAAAGACGAGTGGGATTTTAACCTAACCAAATTCTCATTTTCATGTTTATAAGTCTATTAACTTTTCAAAGTCGCAAGTTCACGCGGTGTGCCCACACGTTGAACTAGAGTCAAGGGGAAGATACCAAGTGGAGTTGGGGTTAATGACAACTCAAAACGAGTATGAATAAATTCAAATCTGTTTTATAAAAGGTGCAATACAACAATGTGTGAAAGTTTTCACAGAATTCTTGTCCCATAGTTTTATATTTTTAGTTCTTCGTACCTTTTTGATATTTGTAATCTAATTACTAATTTTAGGTTTATAAGATTTATTTTGCCTTTTTGCCGGAAAGAGAAAAATTAGGAAAAAAAAAAAATTTCTGAATAATACCTTCTTTTTTTTGGTGTTTAAATAGAAAGAATTGACCCTAGAAATATTTTTTTTTTGGTCAACGGTAGAAAGAAAATTATGATCAATGAAGAAAAGTTAGTTAATAACTTAAAGTGGGATTGGCTGGTCGGACGTTGACCAGGCAAAATAGTGTTCAACACTCTGAG